CCTTCCCCTCCTCCCCGGTCATCGATAGAATTAATAATTCAAGGCGAGCGATCCCAATAGCTCAGGACGGCGTCGTTCGTCGTGTGCCGCCGCGGCCGCCGGGGACGATTGAGACGTTACGGCAGCAGGAAGGCGGCGGCCGCCCTGTGCCAATCGGAACAGGCGGGGGGCGGGGCGGGGCGGGGGATATTGTTTGCAAAGTGTCATGTTCCCGTAGGTTATTTAGAACCCACGCCGCGCGCCGCTCCGTCGCGTCCTGCTGTTCCGGAATTTCATTTTCTGCTGACCTCTCTCTCTCTCTCGTCCACCTCCACCACTTGCCTCCTATTCTCCGTCTCCTCGCCCCCCCCTCTCCTTTCCCCGCTCCTCCCTTCCCCCCAATCGTCTTCCGTCATCTGAGACCATACTGAACGGGACGTGAAATGAAAGACCGCCCCGGCTTACGTTCTGAATGCATCCGCCTACTGATCAGAGTGCCACCGTCGTAAAGCACAGCCCGGCCCCGGAACACTCTTTCTCTCTCTCTCTCTCTAAAAACAAAACCACAAACACCTCCCCTGTGGGTTGTATGAAGACAAAATATCGGAGGGTACATTTTTCACATCTCTCTAATTGAAGTTAAGAGGAAATTTTTTTAAAGACTATTAATAAGTTTACGTAGGCCACGCACCAATCAAAAGCGCATTACCTATTCGGTTTCGGATTGGAGACCAACCGTATCAGCGCACCAAACACTTTTCACAACGCTGACTTCAAAAATTAACCTTTCGGGGGCTACATGTGCATGACCTCTCTGCAGTCGTATAGAAAGTACGTCCGTTTTGTTCCTCAGATTCATTCCGAAAAATCAGGTACGGTAGCCTGGCGCCTGCGAAACTCAGGGTAGGCCACCCAGCAGTACACGCATGTTCTGCAGCCACGATGTTGCCTACCTAACAGGCGCTTCGGGAGCTTGCCGCGGCTGGCGGGGTCGTATTAGAGCAGCGAATGACGGACGCACTTTCTGCGGATGGTTCTAAACTAGGAATGTTGCAATGCAAAACTTTTCCAGAAAAAATGAAAAGTTTAAAATATTTACAGAAAAATTGGTCAAAACATTTTCAGGGAAAATTGAGAAAGTTTCAAATAAGATCTTTAAAAGTTTTCCATAAACAATTTTCCGGAAAGTTAAAAATTCATATTCTGATCACTGTTTGGCGTTTCGCTCCGCGCGGATCGAATGTAATCCCGCACTGGTGTGGTCTAGTGGCCTCTGCACTCGTAGGTGCCTCTGGCCCGGCTTGGCCTCGCCACCTACCTACTCCGCTCGCTCTGCCCGGCTCTGCCCCTCGACACGCGTGCTGCTCGGGCGGCTCGCACCGCGGCCGAGCGGGGGTCCGCGATGAATGAGCCACTATATCATGTTTCCGAGCCGCGAGCCGCGAGCCGTACCAGTTGGAAGTACGGGACGGGCTGGCTGGGGACAAACTCGTCGCGGGGTTATTCGCACCACCGGAAGCTGCATGTAGTTGGGGTATTTGATGCAGTACAGCGACAGAGGTGCGCGTGTTCGTAACTGCCTTTCAAACCCCCGCACCCCCCCTCGGCCGGAGGGGGGATTCTGATTGTTCCCCGCACTTGGGAGCCAAGTAATTAGCAGAGATGGACCATCAGATGGCAGCAGATGGCGACCGTCCGCGGTCATGCGGCGGCCGCGGCGCGAAAAGGTGAGCGGCGCCCATCGATATAATTGTGGTGTCACGTGTCGCACGTCACACCATATTTACTAATTATTGGTGAGTAAATCGATGAGTATATTTTAAAGTTTGAGTAATCGTCGAATATTTTTTTTATAGTTTGAGTAATCGTTATGAGTTATTTCTATCCGGTGGGAATGACATGGGGTAGGGGGTGGGAAGAGCATATGATCCCGGCTGCTTCTTTTTCAACCACAGTCTCCTGTGCGCAGAGCAGCTAGAATGATGACGATTAATAATAATTGCGACTGGGCAGCTTCAGAGAGGAAATAAGAGACCGTCACTCCTGCGAGTCGAATGGGTGGCCTACCCGCCGGGCGGCCGGGCAGCTGCACGCTTCACAAGCGGCCGAACGCGCATCAGCCGTCGTCATGCGCAACCAAGAGGGGTAGCTATCTAACTCAAATAAGTCCGGATAATTTTAAAAAACCGGGAAAAAATTAGGAATTTTTTTTTAAAAAATGGGAAAACATTAGAAAAAGTCCGAAAAAACAACAGACAAATTGGTGCGCAACGCACGACAACGCGGCGGTTTAGAGAAAAAGAAAATGTCCCCCATAAAACTTTCTAAAAAGAAAACTACTCTGGAGACTGATCATATAACTAATTCGCGCCCACCACTTCCAGGTGGCCTGCATCGCACAGCCGCCGCCGCCGTCGTCGCGGGAAAACGAACCTGGTGGCCGTGTGAGTGTCCGGCATCACACACCCTGCCCTGCCCGCGCGCGGTGGTTGGTGGTGGGGCGGCAGTGCAGGATGTCGCCCCCCCCCC